GAGGAAAATTGTTTTATGCAATACTGTGTGTTGTGCAACCACTGAATTGTAAACCTAACAGTAAAGATACACGCTATATTTTCAGAAGTCTGTGGACACCCAGCCTTAAGGACCTACAGATATCTGATGTGGGTATAGGCAAGAACTGTTAGGCAGAAGATGCTATGAATTTCCATACTGGATCAGAGCAGTGGCCATATATAAGTATCCTGTCTCTGACAGTTGCGAGTACTAGCTGCAGCAGAGGAAAACGGAAGAATTCCTGCAGAAGGCAGTTATGAGCCAGTTTGCCCATGAGACAGGAAGTGCCACTATATCAACAAAACAATAAAACTAACTGCTATCAAATGCACAATAAACAAACTGGAAAAACAGAAAAATAAAATGCTATTTAATTTCTTTCAATTGTAGTAATCTCTCGAGTTACTTAAAACAATACATACTAAATTTTCAGCTGGAAAAGTAATTTTCAAGTTGACTGTGTCTGATATTTTAACAAGTCTTTTCAATATTTAAACAGTAAAACTCTTCTGTTTATCAATACATATTGGACATGATTTTCTGATCTCCCATGGGATTCCAGGAGCTGTTAATTTCAATGTCACTTTGCAGCAATATGATGGATTGTAACAGGAGACTCAGTCCAATGTGAATTATAAACTTTATTTTAAAAAATCAAAAACCTTCTCATTATAGAGAACTTTTGGAGAACTCCAAAAAACAAAATATAAACTCTGTATGAACTGTGAGAAACAAGTCAATTACTATTCAGAGGGCATCTTGACAGAGTTAGCAAAAACCAGTTACCACCTTTTTGTAACAGTTGTTCTTCGAGGTGTGTTGCTCATGTCCATTCCATTGTAGGTGTGCACCTGCACATGTGCGCAGCCGTCGTAAACTTTTGCTGTAGCGGGTACCCACAGGGCCGGCTTTGGCACCCTCATGGTGCAGTACATCAGGTGCCGCTGGCCCTGAGCCCTCTCGGTTCCTTCTTGTCGAAAACTCCGAAAGAGGATCAGGAGACGGGTAATAGAATGGACATGAGCAACACATCTCGAAGAACAACAGTTACAAAACGATGGATAATCGTTTTTTTCTTTATCGAGTGCTTGTTCATGTTGATTCCATTGTAGGAGACTTACAAGCAGAATCCCAGGAGTTGGGCTTGAAGTTCAGAGTCTTGCAGATTGTGGTACTGCCGAAACTAGCATCAGCCTGAGCCTGCTGGATCAGCGCACAGTGCAAGGCAAAAGCGTGGATGTACAACCAGATGCGGCATGGCAAATTTCTTGGATCAGCACCTGATTGAGGAAGGCCGCCGCCAAGGTCTGTGCTCTAGCGAAGTGGGCCGTCACAATTGGTGGTGGGGGCATCTTCGCCAGCTCACAGCAGTAGCGGATACAAGCCATGATCCAGGACGAGATCCTCTGGGTGGATACTGCACAACCCTTCACTTGGTCCGTGACAGCAACAAACAGCTGCGGAGACTTACGGATTAGCTTCATTCTCTCTATGTAGAAGGCCAGAGCTCCCCTAACGTCCAAGGTGTGCAGCCTGCATTCCTCATCCCTCGCATGAGGCTTTGGGCAAAGGACCGGAAGATATATGTCCTGACTCGCGTGGAACTGGGAGTCGACCTTGGGCAGAAAGGCCAGGTGTGGACGGAGATGGACCTTGTCCTTATAGAAGATCGTATATGGCAGTGGTTCTCAAACTTTTGTATTGGTGACCCCTTTCACATAGCAAGCCTCTGAGTGCGACCCCCACCCTTATAAATTAAAAACACATTTTTATGTATTTAACACCATTATAAATGCTGGAGGAAAAGTGGGGTTTGGGTTAGAGGCTGACAGCTGACGACTCCTCAGGTAATAACCTCATGACCCCCTGAGGGGTCCCGACCCCCAGTTAGAGAACCCCTGGTATATGGGGACTCGGACGTGAGTGCCATGATCTCAGACACCCTACAGGCTGAAGTTATAGTGACCAACAAGGAGACATTCCAGGATAACAGCAGAAGGAAGCAGGAAGCCAGGGGCTCAAAGGCAGGCACTGTGAGCCTGGAAAGCACAAGGTTCGGGTCCCAAGAAGGGACCGGGTCGCGGACATGCGGGTAAAGGCAATCCAGACCTTTCAGAAACTGTGCTGTCATGGGATGTGCGAAGACCGACCTGCCTTGAAACGGAGAGTGGAAAGTTGAAATAGCCACCAGGTGCACCTTGATCAAGGACAGCGACAGGTTCTGGAGCTTTAGGTGTAGTAAATAGACAATCCAGGAAGTTTTTGGAAAGCGTAGGGGACAATTTCCTGGCGCAAGTGCTAGAGGAGCCAACTAGGGGGGGCGCTTTTCTTGACCTGCTGCTCACAAACCGGGTAGAATTAGTGGGGGAAGCAAAAGTGGATGGGAATCTGGGAGGCAGTGACCATGAGTTGGTTGAGTTCAGGATCCTGACACAGGGAAGAAAGGTAAGCAGCACGATACGGACCCTGGACTTCAGGAAAGCAGACTTCGACTCCCTCAGGGAACGGATGGCCAGGATCCCCTGGGGGACTAACTTGAAGGGGAAAGGAGTCCAGGAGAGCTGGCTGTATTTCAAGGAATCCCTGTTGAGGTCACAGGGACAAACCATCCCAATGAGTCGAAAGAATAGTAAATATGGCAGGCGACCAGCTTGGCTTAATGGTGAAATCTTAGCGGATCTTAAACATAAAAAAGAAGCTTACAAGAAGTGGAAGGTTGGACATATGACCAGGGAAGAGTATAAAAATATTGCTCGGGCATGTAGGAATGTTATCAGGAGGGCCAAATCGCACCTGGAGCTGCAGCTAGCCAGAGATGTCAAGAGTAACAAGAAGGGTTTCTTCAGGTATGTTGGCAACAAGAAGAAAGCCAAGGAATGTGTGGGCCCCTTACTGAATGAGGGAGGCAAACTAGTGACAGAGGATGTGGAAAAAGCTAATGTACTCAATGCTTTTTTTGCCTCTGTTTTCACTAACAAGGTCAGCTCCCAGACTGCTACGCTGGGCATCACAAAATGGGGAAGAGATGGACAGCCCTCTGTGGAGATAGAGGTGGTTAGGGACTATTTAGAAAAGCTGGACGTGCACAAGTCCATGGGGCCGGACGAGTTGCATCCGAGAGTGCTGAAGGAACTGGCGGCTGTGATTGCAGAGCCATTGGCCATTATCTTTGAAAACTCGTGGCGAACCGGGGAAGTCCCAGATGACTGGAAAAAGGCTAATGTAGTGCCAATCTTTAAAAAAGGGAAGAAGGAGGATCCTGGGAACTACAGGCCAGTCAGCCTCACTTCAGTCCCTGGAAAAATCATGGAGCAGGTCCTCAAAGAATCAATCCTGAAGCACTTGCATGAGAGGAAAGTGATCAGGAACAGCCAGCATGGATTCACCAAGGGAAGGTCATGCCTGACTAATCTAATCGCCTTCTATGATGAGATTACTGGTTCTGTGGATGAAGGGAAAGCAGTGGATGTATTGTTTCTTGACTTTAGCAAAGCTTTTGACACGGTCTCCCACAGTATTCTTGTCAGCAAGTTAAGGAAGTATGAGCTGGATGAATGCACTACAAGGTGGGTAGAAAGCTGGCTAGATTGTCGGGCTCAACGGGTAGTTATCAATGGCTCCATGTCTAGTTGGCAGCCGGTATCAAGTGGAGTGCCCCAAGGGTCGGTCCTGGGGCCGGTTTTGTTCAATATCTTCATAAATGATCTGGAGGATGGTGTGGATTGCACTCTCAGCAAATTTGCGGATGATACTAAACTGGGAGGAGTGGTAGATACGCTGGAGGGGAGGGATAGGATACAGAAGGACCTAGACAAATTGGAGGATTGGGCCAAAAGAAATCTGATGAGGTTCAATAAGGATAAGTGCAGGGTCCTGCACTTAGGACGGAAGAACCCAATGCACAGCTACAGACTAGGGACCGAATGGCTAGGCAGCAGTTCTGCAGAAAAGGACCTAGGGGTGACAGTGGACGAGAAGCTGGATATGAGTCAGCAGTGTGCCCTTGTTGCCAAGAAGGCCAATGGCATTTTGGGATGTATAAGTAGGGGCATAGCGAGCAGATCGAGGGATGTGATCGTTCCCCTCTATTCGACATTGGTGAGGCCTCATCTGGAGTACTGTGTCCAGTTTTGGGCCCCACACTTCAAGAAGGATGTGGATAAATTGGAGAGAGTCCAGCGAAGGGCAACAAAAATGATTAGGGGTCTGGAACACATGAGTTATGAGGAGAGGCTTAGGGAGCTGGGATTGTTTAGCCTGCAGAAGAGAAGAATGAGGGGGGATTTGATAGCTGCTTTCAACTACCTGAAAGGGGGTTCCAAAGAGGATGGCTCTAGACTGTTCTCAATGGTAGCAGATGACAGAACGAGGAGTAATGGTCTCAAGCTGCAGTGGGGGAGGTTTAGATTGGATATTAGGAAAAACTTTTTCACTAAGAGGGTGGTGAAACACTGGAATGCGTTACCTAGGGAGGTGGTAGAATCTCCTTCCTTAGAGGTTTTTAAGGTCAGGCTTGACAAAGCCCTGGCTGGGATGATTTAACTGGGAATTGGTCCTGCTTCGAGCAGGGGGTTGGACTAGATGACCTTCTGGGGTCCCTTCCAACCCTTATATTCTATGATTCTATGAAATAGTCCAGGACATCCTGCAGGATATGGCAATCTGTGGCCCAACACAGGAACCGCTTCCATTTTGATACATAGGTAGTCGTAGTGGGGGGCTTCCTGCTGCCCAGCAAGACCTGATGGACACTGGCAGAACACGGCCGCTCCTCCCTGCAGAAACCAGGCCGTTGGGTGCAGTGCCGCCAGGTTTGGGTGCAGCAGACTGCCATGGTTCTGGGACAGTAGGTCCGGCCGAAGAGGCAGCTGTAGTTGGGTGGCTGCCGAAAGGCTCAGGAACATGGCAAACCAGTGCTGCCGAGATCACACCGAGGCTATGAGGATGACTGAAGCTTTGTCTCACTTCACCTTGAGCAGGACCTTGTGGATCAGTGGCACCGGCAGGAAGGCGTACATGAGTGCTCCCGACCATGGGATCAGGAAGGCGTCTCACAGGGAGCCCCTGTCCCTGCTATGCAGAGAACAGAACATGTGGCACTTCCTGTTCTGTCTGGACATGAACAGGTCCACCTGGGGAGTCCCCACCTTCAGAAGACTAGGCTGTCCATCTCCGAGTAGAACGACCATTTCGTGGTGAGACAAGAAGGTCCTGCTGAGGCAATCCACCAGGATGTTCTTGGTACTGGGCAGGTGGGTGGCCACCAAATGAACGTCCTGCCACACACAAAAGTCCCAAAGGCTGAGCGCTTCCTAACAGAGGGCCATAGACCTGGCAGGAAAGCCTAGCATGCCAGGTGAACCGCTCTGAGTTCCCTGAAATTGATATGAAAGGCTAGGTCATGTTGCAGCCATTGGTCCCCCAGCCCAGGTCTGAGGCGTCTGAGACCAAGGTGAGCAAGGGTGATGGGGTTGCAAAAGGGTCTGCCCGCAGCACCAACCTGGGATCCCGCCACCAGTCGAGCAGTGAGAGGACACGACTCAGCACCAGGACCACTCAGTCCAGGGGGTGCTTACTGGGAATGTAGACTGAGGCCAGTAACATTTGTGGGGGCCTCAGATGAAGCCAGGCATGGCTTACCATGTACTTGCATGTAGCCCATCAGTTGCAGGCACATGTGGGTTATAGTGAGTGGTTGGCTCTGTATGTGAGCGATCAGGTCTGACATGGTTTGAAAACGCACTTCCGGCAGGAATGCCCTGGCCCGCCTTGAGTTGAGAACTGCACAGATGAACTCTATGTGTTGAACTGGTGCTAACATGGATTATTCTGTTTATTAGGAGACCCATATCGTTGCAGGTGGAGCGCACCAGATCGAGCCTCCTCTGGACCTCCTCCGAAGGCCTGCCCTTGATGAGCCATTATCAAGATATGGGAAGATCTGGACCCCTCGACACCTCAGTTAAGCCACCACCGACGCCATGCATTACGTGAACACCCTGGGGGCCGAGGACAGGTCAAAGGGCAGCGCCGTAAACTGGAAGTGGCGCCCTGCCACTATAAAGTGCAGGAAATGTCTGTGCCCCAGGAAAATAGAAATATGAAAATAAGTGTCTTTTAAGTCGAGAGCGGTGTACCAGACCCCTGGATCCAGAGAAGGGATGATGGAAGCCAGGGATACCACGTGGAACTTCAACTTCAACAGAGACTTGTTGAGGCCCCGCAGGTCCAAAATGGATCTGAGCCTCCCATTTGCCTTCAGGATTAGGATGCAGCGGGAGTAGAATCCTGTTCCTTGCATATCCCGAGGAACTTCCTCCACAGCCCCCAAGCGTAGGAGGTTCTCAACCTCCTGAACGAGGAGCTGCTTGTGAGAAGGGTCCCTGAAAAGGGATAGGGAAGTGCGGGGGAGGGGGCGGAACGAGGGGTGGCCAAAAATTGCAGTGTGTAGCCCCGAGCCACTATGTCCAGGACCCAGTGGTCCAAGGTAACCCATGACCAGGCCAAGTGGTCAGAGAAAAGGTGGTCAAGGAAGGGGCAGGAAGAATCCAGGCAGTTGGCTGGTGTGTCGCTCCCGAGCGCACCCTCAAAATGAGCTCTTGTGGCCCCCCTGGTGTTTTGCCAGGCCAGGCTGTGCAGGAGATTGGGACGATGAAGGGCGGCAGCGGTTGAACACAGTGTCTCTTTTCCTTGTAGGCCCCTGCCAAGGTTGCCACCGCCTAGGAGGTGGGGGAGGCCGGAACAGCTGCCTAGACAACTGAAACATGGGCATTCCCAGGGAGCAGAGGGTCACCTTTGTGTCCTGTAGGACAGGTCATGCAGACGCACATCCGTTTGATCAGAAACCGGGCCGACACCGTCAAACGGAAGGTCCTGGATTGAGGCCTGCATCTCTTGGGACAGGCCGGAGGTCTGGAGCCAGGAGCTGCGCCGCATGACCACCACTGAGGCGACCACTAGGGCAGCTGAATCGGTGGCATCCCAGGCCATCTGGCAAGAGGACTGAGCAGCCACGGTCCCTTCCTCGACCAGGATGGAGAATTTCTGGGCTGCTTCCAGGGACATGGAGTCCTTGAACTTGAGGAGAGAGCCCCACAAGTTAAAACTGTAGCAGCCCAAGAGGGCCTTGTGATTTGCCACCCGAAACTGGAGCCTAGCCATAGAAAAAATCTTTTGGCCAAATAAGACTAGTCTTTTCGCCTCTTTATTCTTAGGGGTTGAACTGGTGGGCCCGTGTTTGTCCTGCTCATTGGCTGCCAACACGACCAACGAACCTGGTGGCAGATGAGTATATAAGTACTCAAACCCCTTTGCAGGAATGAAGTACTTCTTTTCCATCCTTTTCGAGGTGGGCGGGATGGAGGACGGGGTCTGCCAGATGGCCTTGGCAATATTCACCCCTTCGTGAATTGGGAGTGTGACCCGGGTTGGGGCGGCCGCAGAGAGCACGTTAAAAAGCATATTCATCTGCTCCTCAATCTCCTCCACTTTAAGGCCCAAGTTAGCAGCCACCCTGCGGAGCAAAGCCCGATGCTTGTGGAAATTGTCCAGTGGGCTACCTCTAGACAGTGCCGCTACCGCTTCATCCGGGGAGGAGAAAGATGACTGGGTGGCTGGGGGGGCCTCGGTGGCGTCTCCGTCCACGTGGGGAGGGAGGCCTTGGGGTGGGTACTGGCTTCTCACACGAGGTGGTAGCTGGAACGTCCTGCACCGAGCCCGGTGCCGCAAGTGCCAGGAGTGCCGCCTGTGGTCTTTCTGATGCTGCAACTGAGGTCTGGTGGGAGTGGGGCACCGGCATGATAGGAATGCCCCATGTGTTCCAATTCAGCCATTGGGTCGGCCACTGGCTTTCGCGCCAGGTCGGCACCGATGTTGCTGATGTGCCTTCCGGAGCCCACTCACGCTGTCTGGGTGAGGGACTGAATTGCGCCTCTGAGCCTGAAAATTCATCTCCCTCCAGCGACCAGGGTGGGGCTGTGGAGGCTTGAGTCTGACGTCTCATGGTTGCTGCTGGAGACCGGTGCTAGGACCAGTCCGACTGATGCCGGGGGTAGGGGAAGCGACATCGTGTTGGGGAGTGCCCTCAAGGTCTTGGCGATGGTGACTGATGGCAGGATGAGGACTGGTACCGGGGTGATCGACGACACCTGGGTGAATCTCGACGCGACAACGGAGATAGAGAGCACGGTGCCTGCAACTTGTACTGGCTAGCTGGAGACGTAGGCTGACGTGGAGACCAAGAATGTGGCAGCTTCTGACTCTGTCTTGGCTCTGGAGATCAGCAGCACTCACCTGATTTGTGTGAGGCCTTTCTGGCGATCTTGCCCTCACGGGAAGCCCTAGCTGGGTCCTTTCCACACACAGAGGAGGCACTGTGGACTCTCCCAGTGCCAGGCCCTTGGAGGGGGCCAGTTGTGCCATTTGCTTAGGCCCTTTACCGCTCCCTGGAGTCAGTGGCGGGTCCTTTCTGGGGGAGGAACCCCCCCGCAGCCGAACCCTTCAACGGGTCCGGAGTGGACAGAAGGCACGAACAGGGTTCCTTACCCGGAACCCCTTGGTCGGTCTTGGCCGGTGCTGTGGTCTTAGGTTTTTTCTTTGGCATTGGTGACGGGGATTGGTGCTGGAAGGACCCTGGTGCCAGAAGTGTGCTACGCACCAAAGTTGAAGCACTGGGTGCCAGTTCAGGCTGCACTGGCTCCGAAGCTGGACGCAGGGCAGCCTGCATCAGAAGGGCCCTGAGGCAGATATCATGCTCCTTCTGAGTCCGTGGATGAAAGTTCTGGCAGATATGACAGTGCTTCTTTATATGGGTTTCCCCAAGGCACTGTAAACAGCTCGTGAGGGTCACTAACAGGCACAGGCCTGTTACAGGATGAGCAGGGCTTGAAACCTGGAGATTGGGGCATGCTCTCCGGGGGCCAAGTTTCCGCTGGGACACTATCTAACTAAACACTTAAAGGGGACTTAACGACTAACTAACAACGCTTAAAACTATTTACAGAGAAGCACAAGGCTAAACAGATGAAGAAAACTGCTGACCACTTGTGAAGCAAGGGACAGAGGTGCTCCGATTAACCACCATGGGCAGTAAGAAGGAGCTGAGAAGGCGCAGGGCCGGCAGCGCCTGATATACTGCACCATGAGTCGGCACTCCAGAGGGCGGCACAGCCAGCCCTACGGGTACCGCTAAGGCAAAAGTCTCCAACGGCTGCACACAAGGGCGTGCGCACACCTACAATAGAATGGACATTAGCAAGCACTCAAAGAAGAATATGTGGATTCACATAGTCCCATCTCTGCTACTGAATTATGGTTATATGTCTAATTGAGTGCTGTTATGATACAGTAATTTAAAAATGCAGTAAAATGTTAATGTTAGCGAAAAAGTCTCAAAACAAAAAAATGTACTCAGCATGCAATATTGTTTTCAGGGACTGACATTTTATATTAGCTTAAAAACCATTTTGTAGACTGTTAAAATGGAAGCACAAGGCATTTACTAAAGTGGAATTTCAAAACTATCAGGTTTCCAAAACTAGCTTCTAAATCTGCATCCACAAGTTTTCTAAACATAATCCTGCATTTGAGCATGCAGATAGGCAGGTGGACAGCTAACTATTCAGCCTGCATGCACACAAATGCCTACTGGCATATGTAATTAACTATATGCACAAAATTTATGCAATTTGGGAAGCTGGAATGAAATCATAGCTACACGGTGGTCTAAAACAGTCTGTTCAGCAAGGTGAGAATTTTTCTTCAAGAAGTCCAAAATTTATGAATTTTGCGATTTAAGAAACCTTTCAAGCTCAAATTCTGAGCACAATGGCCTAAACTTAACATATTAAAATGTAGTGTTCAAAATTTCAAATCATAGATATGTGTAAATTAATAGTTGTTCTGTCTTTGATTATCACAAACACATGCAGAAAACTAAAAGAAAAATACAGGTCCTAAACACTGACCAAAGAAGAAAAGAGCAGAGATTGTGATAGGAGGAAAAGAAAAGTTTACAAACAGATTGGCTTTTTCTTTTTCAGCTTGTCTTTATCCTTTGCTTCTCGCTCCCGTTTGGCAAGTCGACGTTTAAATTCTTCTGGCATTTTCTCATAACAGTGTTTGCAGACAGGTTTTAGATCAATTTCAACAAACTTATCCCTTTAGATAAGACACAGAGGAAAACAGTGGAAAGAACAGGAAAAGGTTTAAGAGTAAGTCATAGCTGAAAGAAGAATTGAACACAAAGAAAAAATAGATTTTAAAGTAGTAAATGGAGCAACAGGAACAAACACATATATCATTTACAAGAAGTTGTCTATAAATGTTCTATACCAGGGGTCTCAAGCTCAATTTACCTTAGGGCCAGTCTTCAGATCCTCCCAGCAGGCCAATAATGTCACTCGTGCCGCCCAGAACCCCCCCCCCCCCCCCAAAAAAAGCCTCTGCCCCCCACCTGCCTAAGGCTCTGGGAGGGAGTTTGGGTGGGGGAGGAGGTCTGGGGTAGGGGATTGGGGTGAAGGCTCTGGGAGGGAGTTTGGGTGTAGAAGGGGTGAGAGATTGGGCTCTGAGAGGGAGTTTGGGTGGGAGAGAGGGTCTGGGTACGGGCTCTGGGATAGAGTTTGGGTGCTAGGTGCAGGCTCTGGGCTGACGCAGGGGGTGGGGGTGCAGCTCTGGGCGGGGATCGGGAGGTGCAGCACTTACCTGGGGCTCCAAGGCGGGGCGGGCTGGGGGGCCTCCACGCTCTGCTGCCCCCAGGCACCACCCCCGCAGCTTCTCACTGGCCGCAGGGGCGCTTGGGGTGGGGGCAGCGCACAGAGGCACAGCCCCGCCCCACCCCGGGGCCGCAGGGAGGGGCTGGCAGACACCGCTCAGCTCTGCTGCACTGCCGGGGCCCCGGGCCATTGTAAATCGCCTGGGGAGGGGGAGCGCCTGGGGGCGGCAGGTGGGGCCAAGGGAGAGACCCGGCCCCAAAACTGCTGGAGCCCCGCAGGCCACATTGGGGAGGTTTGCAGGTCGCAGATGACCTGCGGGCCA